GTTGTGAAGACGCATGCGGAGAAACTCAGAGACGAATTTCCAATGGGCGCGGAGACAGTTTTGAAATCGACTTATAAGGACGACAGCATGGATTCGGTCGCAAACGATGACCAGGGAGTAAGGCTTTACAAAGAGTTAAACGAGCTTTGGTCTAAGGCAGGAATGAAAGTTCACAAGTGGCTCACAAATTCTCCCAAAGTTCTCAAAAGGATCCCAACTGAAAGTAGAGCATCAGTGGTGCATTACGCAAGTACTAGGGCATCCATGGTGAAGACATTGGGTGTATTTTACCCAATCGGATTTCTAGCGCCTTTCATCATCCGAGCCAAGATCTTCAAGAAATGAGGCTCGTGGGGATGGACTGGGACAATTTACTCCAAACATAGATGGCTAACAAAGCAAGATCATGGTTTCGCGAATTGGAGGATCTATTCACCATTAGGGTCTCGCGGAGTCTTAGATAAGGACACGGGGAAGAAATGCTGTCACAAACGTTTTACACCTTTGTAGACGCTTCGAAAGATGCACATTGGGCTGTTGTCTACTCAAGGACAACTTACAAAAGCGGAACAACAACGAGAAGAGTTGTTGCGGCAAAGACAAGAGTAGTATCACTTGCAGCCACCAGCATTCCTGGATTTGGAATTGATGGCAGCAGTCTTAGGACTGAGGATGATGGAATCAATTTCAAGAACCTTTAGTGTCAGTTTGAATCAAGTCACTTTCTGCTCGGACAGCATAAATGTGCTATGGTGGATAAAAGGACGAAGTCAGTCATTCAAATCGTTCGTGGCAAATCGTGTTGGAGAGATTCAGACCGAAACGGACCCAAGGCAGTGGCGATTTGTCCCAACATAGAAGAACCCAGCGGATTTATTTTTTAAAAATGGCCTTTTTGGTTGCAAGAAGACTCGTTGTGGCCTGTTAACAAAGTGGAACTACCCAAGAAGAGCAAGCCACTCCCGTTACAACCCCGACTAGATGAAGAAGGTCAAATAAGATGTGAGAGCCGATTGAGATACGCCGAATTCTTATCTCACGATGCTGGTTTCACGAAAATTCTTCTTCGAAGACATCAAGTCACGAAACTGATCGTCAAGAAGTATCACGAAGATGAAAACAATGCGAGCGGAACGAATCGGACTTCAGCATCTTTGTCCACCCAAATTTGGATCGTAGCCGGTCGTGACGAGATCAGAAAATGGGAAAAAGAGTGCAACGAATGCTGCAGACGAAAAGCTAAAGCTGCGAAGCAAATTATGGCTCTCCTTAATTCAGACTTTTCTTATCGCTTCCACCATTTTCCCAAACAGCTGTGCACTTTCTCACAATCCAGGGAAGAGTGTCTTGGAGGTAAAAACGGTACCTAAGTCTTTTCACCAGCTTAGCCCTAAAGGCGGTTCATTCGGAGATGGCCTTCGGATAAGACTTTGATTCCTTCTTGAATGCTTTCTCCAAAATCGTCAACCGAAGAGGACTTCTCAGGGAGATGTTTTCCGATAATGGAACAAATTTCGTCGCCGCAGAAAGGGAGCTGAGAGAGTTGGTCAATCGGGTGGATCGGAGTAAAGTTACCTAATCCACCGCCAGCAGGGGAGTCATATGGCACCTTAACCCTCGACAAACACCACATTTTGGAGGCGTACACAAATCAATGATGGAAGTTGCTAAACGGGCTATAAACGCAGTACTAAGAAATACAGATGTGAACGATGAAGAGTTGGTAACAGCATTTACAGGTGTAGAGGCGTTACTGAATTCTAGACCCTTACCTACCCATTAGCAAATCCTGACGATGACACACCGTTGACGCCAAATCACTTTCTGATTGGACAAGTCGATGGCTAGTTCGCCCCAGAATAACTTTAATCCAAAGAAAAGGTGGAGAAGAGTCCAAGAGTTGGTCAGACATTTCTTGCACCGTTGGTTAAAAAAATGGAGACCAAGTCTTCCTAACAGAAAGAAATGGTTGACAGAGGAAAGAGACCTTAGAGTAGGAGATGTCATGCTGGTCTTATTGTCCGTTTCATCTCGTGGACATTGGCCGTTAGGAAGAGTCGTGGAAGTGTTTCAAGGAAAAGACGGACATTTCGGAGTTGCATAGTCCAAGTGGGAAACAACCAGTTTACGAGACTTATCACCAAGCTATGTCCACGAGAATTGAAGTAAAGATATTCCAGAAATGAAACAAAGAGAGCCACAGGAGAATTTATCGAGATAAAATGAGAAGATTTTTGACTAGGAACTGTGATGATGGCTGTGATCATCGAAAAAAATAATTTGGACGTCATTAATAGTTTATATAAGTTTTCCCTTTTTTGTTAGATAAAAGTTTATATGCTGTGACATATCAAAGGGGGAGAAATGGACCTAAGGATTAAGGATTAATGAACGGGTGTTAGTGCAGGTCTTCTCACAACATCGTGAGAATTTTTCTAACATATAAAGCCAGGTCATTTTTCGAAGGTCAATTAGATAAAATCGATTTCCTTTGGAATTTAGAAAATTTCGGAATAAAAAAAGGTCTCGAGAGCAGACGGTGAAATTCTAGCCTATGTAAACAACTCCTCTGAGGCAAAAAGACGCGGAGACCTCGAAGTGGACGACCTTGGAATTCTATGTCTAAACAAGCATCCCCTCTTGCGCCATATCAAGTGTCTGGATCATTTAATTTCCCACATATATCTAAGGAGACAGTTGTGGACCTTCTTCTTTTTGTTCCAGCGCATAACGCTATTGGTGGGGATAGTGTTAGTGCCAAAGTGCTGAGAATTACAGCACCAGCCATTGCTGATTTCCTCTGTAAGATAATAAATTATACTGCATCGACACACAGACATTCCCAAGAAAGGGAAAAGTAGGTAAAGTGACCCCCATTTCTCACTTCCTTGAGGAAAATGCGTTACTTCATCACTTTCATTACGGATTCCGCAAATTCCACTCCACCGAGACCGCCCTTAGTCGACCAGTCGACCAGCTGCTCCTTGACTCAGACAAAAACAGAGCAACGGGGGTAGTATTTATCGACTACGAGAAAGCATTTGACCGCATAGACCGCGATCTCCTTCTAACGAAACTGAATGTCTCTGGGATGTGTTACCACGAACTAGACTTACTATGCAACTATCTGAGTGGACGCAAACAGTACGTAGTCATTGACGGATGTCATTTCTTCCCAAGAACTGTGACAGCTGGAGCACCACAAGGGAGCATACTGGGCCCCACCATTTTTCTCCTGATCATCAACGACCTACCCTTAGCAGCTCAGCGTTCTACCGTCCGACGGTAGAACGATGTGCTGAACTGCTGCACCACTCTCAATTTTTCATCCGACGTGACAAATAGACTTCTTGGCATCTCATTAGCCCTTTAAGACCTAGAAGACCTTTCCCAGTGGTCAGCTGCCAACAAGATGGTTACGAACGCCGCTAAGACGAAATGTCTCTCAGTGACCGGGAAACACCTTACAAATAAGATCGTCGATGGTTCATTAAATCTTCATCTTGGGAACTCAAATATAGAACAGATGGATAGTCAGAAACTCCTAGGGCTTATCATTGACCGACACCTAAGCTTTAAGGCTCATGTTGAAGAACTACATGTGTAAGAAACTATCTCAAAGAATAGCAGTGCGTAGGAAGATTTGAAGATTCCTCCCCATTGAAGAGCGCACATTTTATTACACCGCCTCTTTAAGAATTTATCGTGGCTCCCCTTTCTATGACGAAGTTAAATTAAATAAAAGTACTTTAGTCTTAAAGCGTTAACAAGGAAGCTGTCCTGCTTATATGTACGATCTACTCAAATTTAATGCACACCTACACTCACGAACTGGTCGTTATAGTAAATTAAATCTCGCCTGTCCTCGTTTCAATCGCGAAACCTAGGGAGGGAGGACCTTTAGCGTATCTGCGACAAGACTGTGGAGCCAACAAGCCATTAACCTAAAGAAAGAGGCGACAACAGTTGCTTCTTTCAGAAAGGCCTTTGACAGACATTTTTTTACGAGCTATGATGAAGTAGAAAATTTCAGTCCGAATGCAATTTAACCTGACCCAAGCGGCATATTTTATTTTATGAAAAACTGTCGACCAGATTTATAATCTTCGAATACAATTTTAACTCTAATTATGGTACTTTTGGGATCGAGGGCCACTAGTTCTTCGGTTGGATTACTGTTGTGTGTTACCCTCCTCAAATAAAGTTTTTATTTATTTATTTGCAATCTGTACGAACATTAACGACATAGTCGGTTAACTGGTCGGTTTTCATCGAGTAAAGGAAAGCATTTTACACCATCAAGTATGAAGTCCCGTCAAACAAACTATCAAATAGGCGGAAGCTTGTGGTGAGTATACAGCGTCCTCATCTATGCATATAATTACTTCATATTTTTTGTCCAGGCTACTTTAGTCAGAGAACTCCAGGCTGTTGAGCAATGGCAGCCCCCCCGGTCCTTTTTTGCCTCTTTCCCTTCTTTGATTCAGCCGACCGTCATGGCGATAGCCGACTAACCTCATCTGTTTCTGCCTTGGTAACTAATTGGTGAGTGACTGTGACCCGAGTTTTTAAATTTTCATATTCTTTTTTTGTTCCATACTGATTGAGAAAGACCTTTTGGAGCTCAAAATAATAATTAAATATGCTAATACTCGTTTCTAAAAACAATAAGCATGTAGCTCTTTCAAGCGACAAAATTAGCTTTGGAGTTAAAGATACTTCATTCCCAAACGTGTTACGAATTATGGCTGAAAAAAAAAATGTCTGAGTTCAACTCGGGCTTTGCGACTTCGAGGACTCTTTAGAACGGTAGATATTGTTATTAATATTATATTAAGTTATACAAAAGTTTTGTTCAAGAGATTTGTTTTAAAATCGTAACATTTTTCAGAGAAGCTAGAATTGCTTTCGATTGCGTGTCGAGCAACTCTGACGCTTCTCTCGTGCTCTCCAAACTTCCCGCTACACATGAACGAATTCTTTATGAACCGTTGTTTTACCTGGCAGTCGGCACACTGCACTGGCGTCACTATTATGCCCACAGTTGTGAATTCCCCATCCTCCGTGATTGCATTCAAATATCGATGTCTCGTCTCCAACACACTGAACGTCAGTCAGCCATATCTGACCAGCTCCTTGTCCAAATACTGCATCACCAAGTGCTGTCAAAGCTCCATCGTATCCAAGCTGGCGACAAACTATATCAGCGTCCTTTAAATCCCATGAGTTGTCACAGATGGTTCCCCATGTACCATTATAGAACACTTCAACACGACCAGAATTTGGTAAATTGGTGGGACTCACCAAATGCACTATTGTTGATATAAGAGAATCGAAATAAGTTAGCTGTTATCCATGGTAGGGTTTCGTTTAATGAATTGTTTTGAAAACCTCGTAACTCTACTGACCAAAACATTCGATGGAAAGTACAGAAAGAACGCCTGAAAGCGTTGACCTCGGATGCATCGGTCGTTTTCTATAGTTACTCAGGTGTTATGTGGAGAGTAATAAAAGACGAGAAAAAAAAGTTAATTGCGCGGGTTAATGCGGTCACCCATCCGAGGATTAACCCCAGCCAATAGGGCTTTACTTCTAAAAAAAAGCTCAAGGAAGTGGCCAATTTCTATATTTGAGCACGCAGTCTGCCACAGGTAAGCCACGTAAATAGAAAATGAAGAACAGAAATCCCTTCGAAATTAGATGCAGTAAAACGTAGTTTTACGTGAACTTGTTACACCATTAAATTGCGTTTGGCAAAAACCAAAAAACAAAAGAAAGATTGGAAGAAGAACAAAAGTTTTCTTTTTCTAAATAATTTGCTTTAGAAGAGTATGGCAGCCTTACCTCTGGGTCGGCAAATTACACTAGCATCTGAACTGTGATAACAGCTGTGAATTTCCCATCCTCCATGATTGCATTGTGATATTGATGTCTCACTACCCCCACAATCCACATTGGCCAACCATATCCGGCCTGTTCCTTGTCCAAATGCTGAGTTATGAGGTGCTGCCAAGGCTCCTTCGTATCCAAGCTGGCGACAAACTACATCAGCGTCCTTTAAGTCCCATGAATTGTCACAGATGGTTCCCCATACACCTTGGTACCGCACTTCAACACGACCAGAACTTGGCGAATTGTTGGAATCCACTAAACGGACAGCTGTTTTACGGTGAACAGAAGTAACTCAGTTAATCTTCAGTCAATTTTAAGATATAGGGAAGAATAACAAAACGAATTCAAGAACCCACAACTTCAAAACATACATTTGAATTTGCTTTCAATTATTCAATTAATTTCCTTGCAATTTACAGAGGCATTCTTCGTAAACTAATCGTCGATGGAAGTGAATAATACTCGTTGTGAAAACATTAAATAGTTTTGAAGAAATAAATGTCGTGACAGTTGCTCTCTGGAGTTTTAAGACGGTGATCACTTGTTTCCGTCTGGATACGATTATCGTGCATTAGTATTGACGAGGCTTCATGATACCACAAAGCAACTGATCCGTATTGGGAAAAACTGTGCCCTAGGTCTTGAGTACTCGCGGTACTCAAGACAGAAGGCAAAGTTTTTCCCAATACGGACCGACCTAGGCTGGTGAATAAAGTTTTTATTTTTATCTAAAACTTCAAAAAATTGCAGCCAAAATAAAATTAATGATTTAGGGCCCATTTAATGACACATTTGCTACTACAAATTCATTTCGAATGGCAACGGAGTTAGGAATGTTCTCGGTGACTCACGAAAGAGAACCAATCAGATTGCAAGATTTGTTACCGTGCCCTCTGAGACCAAAAATGACAAATGATATTTCTCTCGTAAGTCGTTTTTTGGATAATGAACGTGGGTCTGTGGGTACCAAAGACCACTTTTTGTGAAATGTGGTCATCGAAACACAAATGTAACAGTGGACACCCCAATGTTAACTTCTCTCGTCAGAATTGATTTCATGCTCATTAAGTACAAGTGATTAATTAGCATAGTCAACGCCACACAAGATAACAAGCTGGCTTATTTTCGTTGGTTTGAAGATCCGAGAGTTTGCGTTTGGCGCTAAAGAACGTTGTACAACATGTAAGAATTAAAAAAAGAATACAGATAAAAAGAAGTGTCTGAAGCATATAACCAGTGAACTGCGTTCCCTTTGTTACTTTGCCTAAAGGAATACTCTCAGTGAAAGGCCGTTAGGTATATTGGGTGTCTATAGAACGGAGACCGAAGACAGGCAAGATGTTCGATTTGCATTTGAACAAAGAGATTATACCATTCTCACACACTTTCTAGCCAAAAATCAAGTTTCGCTTTTTGATGCAAAGAAAAGGAAGAAATTGGAAAAAAAGGAATTACTTTTATTTCCCCAAACCCTTTCCTTTGGCAAACTTTCTTTGGTCAGGAAACCGCTTTTTACCAGACCACCATTGACATATTAAACAAATATTCTGTTCCTTTTCTATCATGCATGCAAGCTATCATTTATCTCACGGCCTTGATGAAAAGAATGACATAGAATACAAATAAAGGTTATCAAAACGGTCATGAAGTCAAACGCTTGAAACAATAACAAGAAATGGCAACACTTTCCAACTTTGACAGAAATAGGATCGCAGCGCGAGGTTTAAGGGTTCGCTGAACCGTTGTCGGAAATGCGTAACGACTTTCCCGTATTCTCATTTGCTCTATTTCATGCTTAAAAAATATAGCAGTAAAACAAGTGCTGGTATTGTTACTCTACCTGTGGGTCTGCACACCACACCAGCGTCTTCACCATGCCCACAGTTGTGAACTCCCCACCCTCTGTGACTGCACTGTGATACTGATGTCTCGTTTCCTTCACATTTAACGTCATCCAGCCATATCTGACCAGCTCCTTGTCCAAATGTTGCATTTCCAGGTGCTGATAAAGCTCCATCATAACCAAGCTGATGACAAACTACATCAGCGTCTTTTAAGTTCCACGAGGTGTCACAAATGGTTCCCCAGGTACCATTGAACAGCAGTTCAACACGACCAGAAGTTGGTGAATTTGTGGGGCTCACCAATCGAACTGTTGGCAGTATGATAATAAGAGTTATTTTGTTCTACCCTGTCTAGTTTTTCCAAACCATTTTTTTCACAGAAGAAGCGGTAGTTTTCGAAAACTTAGAGGATCATAAATCTGTTTTAAACTGTAAGGAGTTGATTGGACCGGGGTTAACCGGAAGTTGAGCGGAATGTAAACAAAATGGGTAACGTTTTCGACATTTTTTTACTACAAATAACGGTATCAACAGAACACGGAAGGAGCAATTCAACAATTGGTAAGAGGGTAGGTGGAAGGAGGTCTGTTCAAAGACGTTCTATTCGTTCTTCTATCAAAACAAAAACAACTACTAACAAACTATGGGTGAGGTTTGTTATGTGATGTTTAAAAGCATCGTCCTCTTACCTGTGGGTCGGCAAACTACACCGGCATCATAACTTCCCCAACAATAACCATTGTGAACTCCCCATCCTATTTGACTGCATTGTAATATTGAAGTCTCATTCCCTATACATTGCACGTCACCCAGCCATATCTGGCCACTTCCATGTCCAAATGGTGAGTTACGCAGTGCTGCTAAAGCTCCTTCGTATCCAAGCTGGCGACAAACTACATCAGCGTCTTTTAAGTCCCATGAGTAGTCACAAATGGTTCCCCATACACCGTTATACAGTACTTCAACCCGACCGGAACGTGACGAATTGAAGGAATTAACCAGACGAACAGCTGATTAAATGGAATAAGAAGGTGTTCAGAATATGATCTTTTAAATCTTGAGGAATTATCCAACTTACTTTAAAGTTTGATAAGATAGGAGGGAACGTCGTAAGTCGTTATCTTTAAGAATGATCATAGTCCAATAGGAATATAATCAAAGTGGACCTACATACTTTCAAATCCCTCGACAAACTAAAACACGAATCGCCTTCCCAACAAGGAAGTCTAAAGGAAGCTGTGTAAACCGCTCAAAAAAGTTTACACTTAGTCATGAAAAGGCTGTTTCGGTTCATATCATAAATGATTATGAGATTTTGTCGCGAAAAAGCTGAGACATCACAAATTGAGCGCACGAGTCCCTTTATCATCCTTAAATACTTTAATTATGAGGAAACTTTTCCGGTTATCGCACAATGTAGTCACTTATATTGTAGAGAACGACGTTTCAAGTGCAAATCGCTCGTCATCTCAATGAAGATGATACTCTGCTGGATGAGGAATATCTACGTCAGTTATCTACCGACACCGATGATACCGAAGTTATAGCCAATAATCAGTCTTTGTGCTAGGGTTGGTAAAGACCTTTAATCTTTAAATCGCAACGGGAAAAATGGCAAAACAGATAGAGGCGCACTTTCTTTATGAGGAACAGTCTTCTCAAATGCAACATGATTACTCTATATCGATTGGTTTAACGGTTTTTTTCTGAACCTTACCTTACTGATCCTCATGTCGAAACAAAAATTCAAGCACAATCTATATAAAAGACTAGTTAAAGACTAATACTGAACTAAGAGTACTAAGACATTTAACGATGCCAATTCAGTGGGAACTCGTTTTGCGCTCAGACCCACGTGAGGTAAATGATAATATTCAGAGGAATTGGCTATCTAATAGGTAAGCAAAACTGGAAATCCCCAGTTGAAAGCCTCTTTACGGTTATGAATTTCTACGTTTTCAGTTATCAAAGATATTGGAGAGGCAAGATCTAAGTCGAGAATAATAAGATCATTGTTTTTTAGAAAAGGTCAATGAAAGGAGGATAGGAAGGTTAATATTGGGGAATGGCTGTAAGGATACTATCATTTCAACACTACGATTTTTTATAACAGTTTTGCTTTACATTTTTGAGTGATTTGGTGACGGGTATGTCATAGATTTGATAAAACTTAAGAAAGGTATCAGGCGTTATCTTGATCAAGAGAAGATGAGCTCATTTCAGAGCAGCTATGTGTCTTAACTATGGTCTCAGTAATTACCCGAGAAAGAAACGAGAGCAAGTAAGCATACGTGCCAGACGAAATAAGGAAAAAGAAACGAAAACAAAAACTTTCAGACAAAACGATACTGAGCAAATGAGAGAAAGAAAAGGCTCTTCCTTTTGGCCTGCTAAATGCCTAATTGTCGGTCAGTCCATACATTTAGCCATTGTCTATGAGGGGGTCTTACGGAGAGTACACTAGGTTTGATATCATGTAACATAAGAAAGATAGTTATATTCTTTTAATGAACCAACAACCATATTTCAATCATCAACAACACTATCATAAACATCTTCAGCTCACCCACATGCTAAGCTTCATACTCGTCCTCACCCTCACCATGATTATCGCCATCATTGCCAGAGGCATCGCCATTATCTTTATTATCGCCATGACCATTACTATTTCCACTGGCATTACCATCAGCGTCGTTATCGTTATTGTTGGCCATGATAGTTATATTCTTGACATTTAAAAATATTGTGACTTCACAGTTTGCCAAACATTTCCTGTTTCCGTCTCTGTCTCCCCTTTCATACCTACACGCTTGTGAATTAAACTCCAAAACATACAAGTTTCTCATCTTCATATGCGTACATATGAGGAATTTCAACGGTGAGTGATTGCATTTCAAGGCTAACCCATCTTCTTCCAAAATATATGCAACTGTCACATCCGGCATAAAGTGCACAAAACAACCGGAGTTTTTCTCACTTTTAAAGGAATATAGTGTGGGTCATCCAAATCTAGTCAGCGGCCCAGCACGGGATGCCGATCATAACAACAACACGTTTAATTTTAAGTAGAGAAATGTAATCGTTTGTTTCACGATGTAATCACTTTGGATGTGGATCGCGACGTTTCGACTGCATACTGCTAGTCTTCTTCAGGCGATGAGGTGGATTAAGTTTCTGTCACCTATATTACTCAGCTGTGATTGGATGGAATTCCACATCTTTGGATGCACCATGCGTCACATGCTTCTTCGCCTAAAAGAGGAACAGTCCATCAAAGTACTACCAGCAGACAAAGGACTAGCTAATGTGGTCTCAGCCACCGACACGTACCAAACCAAGATGTCCTCCCTGAACGAAAGCGGACCGTACCAAAGGTTGAAAAAAGATCCAACAGACCCTCTGACGAGGAAGTTGTCTAAAAAACTACTAACTGCTAACCTTGAAACGAAGCAGATATCTCTCAGAGGCCGTCTACAACAAGATGAGACCACGACAGCCTGAAATTTACAGTTTACCAAAAATTTACAAGGCCGATATACCTCTGAGACCAATTGTGTCATGCGTGAACACCCTCGCATATGATTTGTCCGCCCATCTTGCTAACATCCTATCTCCGCCAACAGGTAACTCAGATTTTACGGTGCCTAACTCAGTCCAATTTCGAAAGGATTCAAGAAAGCGAGATAATCATGTGCTTCGAGTAGAATCGTTATTTACCAAAATTCTCATCGACTTAGCTGTACAAGCAGCTCGGTAAAAACTGTAAACGATCTTAGCCTACCTAACCGCACGACAGAAACTCCCAATCAGATCACAGACCTCCTTAAGTTCGTATCGAGAGTTATGTACTTTCAGTACAATGGGTCAACTTACGAGCAGACAGAAGGCGCCACTATTGGGAGTGCGGTTCCCGCTGTTAATGCTAGCCTCTACATGGAGAGTTTTAAAGATCAGGCAGTAACGTCACCCTACAAACCTGGGATCTGGAAACGCTACATAGCGTTCCTAAGTACCTGACGCAGAGACTCCAACTTGCCGCGGCAAGTTTTGTTTACAATCACTATGCGGATATGTCGGACATTTTGAAACTCGGATGGCTCCCCATCAGTTATCGTCGAGACTATCACACAACTAGGACGATATGCAAGGCTTGATACCAAAACTGCTGGCCAACCTGCCTCAAACTGGTCGAACATAAACCGGCAAGGGCTCTAAGATCTTCTTGTTAGCGTTGCCTTGAACCATCGACTGTTCCTGGAACACTACAAAATTCTGCTACGATGCTATTTAACAGTCTACCTCAAGAGATTAAAAATTGTACAGAACTCAAAGTATTCGACAGTAAATTGCAGAAATCATTTTATGACATTGGCAACAAGTAGTTCCTAGTCCTACTTATATATCCTGTACATACTTTATGTCTCATGCCAGTATTACTTTCATACGCGCGTATCTATATTATCCATAAATTTTACATCATCAATATTATACAATTTTACATTTACTGTCCATAACTTATGTATTTTATTTATATACTATTTATGCAATTATACATCTTGTTGCACGTTATTTATTTATCCATATATTGATTTCAACCATTATATTATTTTATTATGTCCATAATGCATATTTTATCAATTGTATATTATTTTTTTAGTGAATTAGTACGGAAGAGCCACCGTATGGAGTACTAATATACCATTATTATTATTGTTATTATTATTACACCATCCACAATCAGTAAAGTGCGGTATTGTTAAGTGCCAATCGTGCGTGCGAAACGTCTCGTGACAAAACCATCCGTTATCTCCAAGGAGAAAAAACATCTGTCATCTGGTCTTGTATCTGGTGGTTATACTTCCTCTTTCGTGCAGAGGGAAATAAAAACCCGGGCACCGACCATCAGCACTGAACCCCCAGCCGAGTTCCGATCCACTGCAGTCCTGCCCTATGTTAAAGGCTTCTCCGAACAACTCTGCTGCTGTATAAAACAAGGCATGCACGCTGTTTTCAAGTCAAATACTACGCTTCCATCACATCTAGTACGCCCGAAGGATGCCGTCGACCCGGCTAAACAGGACGGCGTAGTCTACAATATTCACTGTGAGTGCGGGAAGGTCTGCATCGGCGAAACCAGCAGACTTATGTAGGAGAGAATCTAGGAACACGACAGGGACATTTAGGCTTTAGGCCTTAAGAATGTCACAGTCATGACAGTCATGCAGTCGCCCACTCTGGAACGTGCGTGGATCGTGACCCCCATTTCTACACACGCAAGGTAAAGGAAGAAATTCACTTAAGACGTCACCCTAACAACATCAACAGGAACAGTGAAAATGGAATACCAGAAGCCTAGATCCCGACGATCAGGAGGAGAGCTGGAGAGTCGTGCGGCAACAGACCACAGAGGGAACCTGATCCGAAGATGCACCAATCACAGCCGTGGAATTCCATCCAATCACAGCTTAGCAATCAAACCTATTTTATAACACCAATTTTGCTACGTTTATTAGCAGAATAGAATGATGTGTTGCTATTTAAATTGCACTCTATCTTACAAGAATTAAGCTAACGATTGGAAAAAAGTATTTTTTTCTTGCTGTGTCAACCACCATTTTTTAGTCCAAGTTAACCTGTCAGATTTGATATATTATTCATTGTGTCTAACCGTCGAGGAGCGAGAAACAAAGAGTATCGAGTTTTTCTACGTTGTAAAAATAACAGAATATGGACTCAGAAGAATTTTGTCCGGCTGGATTGAGTTGTGTTTTAAGTAAGCTACATCGGTAGTTGGTTGGATATCGGGTAGTTACTTAGATTCCGGTTGCTTTGGATTTATGGTGATTTAAATTTGTAGTGTGCTCTGTAAATTAAACATGTAGCAGAAGTGGTTGATCGACAAACTTAAAGGTACTAAGTAGAACACATTTACTTGCGGCCAAACGACTCTGGGGTTTTGTAAATGGTTCTGAAGTTCTTGCAAATGATGTGACGTCAGCGATACAGAAGAAGGCACACTGGATGAACAACATTGAAAACTTATAAAAGATATCACTGTCGAATTTGCCGCGATTGGAGTGCCTATTCCTGAAGACGATCAAGTTGTGACTTTGTCACGAAGTTTCTCCACCCCCGTTTAACGTTAGTCTGGATTATATTCAGCAACCACTCATAAACGGGGAAATAAAAAAAAATGGAACTATTCTCTATGTATTTTAGCATTTATCCTCAAAGGAGCAATAGAGATATCATTGTATAATGAGCATAGATCGTCATTTTACCTGCGTTTCGGCACACCACACCAGCGTCTTCACTATGTCCACAGTTGTTAACTCCCCATCCGCCGTGACTGCATTCTGATATTGATGTCTCATTTCCTACACATTTTATGCCATCCAGCCATATCTGATCAGTTCCTTGTCCAAATGCAGCAGCATCAGACACTGATAAAGCTCCTTCGAATCCAAGCTGACGACAAACTACATTAGCGTCCTGTAAGTCCCACGAGTTGTCACAAATGGTTCCCCATGTGCCATTGTAAAACACTTCAACTCGACCAGAAGATGGTGACTTGGTGGGACTCACCAAACGCACTGTTTTTGATATAAAAATACAATCATGCTTAGGTTAATAAACTTTGCTGCTATATGTTTTAGGGGAAACCATCTAAAGAGTGTGCCATACTTGGCTGAAGGCGCTAATAACTCTGGAAATATCCTTTTAGTTCTTCGATAACACTGTAAACGATAACTTTCCTTGGCAGGAAATTCGCTTCCTTCGTCAGAACATCAAGCCAAATTTTTTCTCGAGGATCTTTCTGATGAAGAACAGCGAACCTTGCGCTGCCGATCTACCAATTAATATTTGAATACGAAAGCCAATCAAGAACTTTAGTGTTAGTCCACAAGGAGGTCTTGTCACAAATTAATTACAACCCCTGGCGGAAGTTGAACAAGACAGTCAAAATCTGAAAAATCATCGTAATATCTAACACCCAAATAACTTTTAATCGTAGAATTGATTGTTTACCAGTTAACAATAAACTCATAAGCTCTAAGGTGAACCCCCTTAGAGCTTATGAGTTTAAACGCTCTCTTGAGTGAACTTACAATTACAACTTCAAGTTTTTTTTACTTTGAATGATCTATTGTTTAGATGTATCGCCGCCTTACCTGCCGGTCGGCAAACTACACCAACGTCATCATAGTGATTACAGCCGTGAACTCCCCATCCTAAGTGAGAGCATTCTGATATTGATGTCTCATTTCCTTGGCATTGCAAATCATCCAACCATATCTGGCCTACTCCTTGTCCAAATGATGCCCTTGCCCATGTGGACGCTGTTAAAGCGCCATCGAATCCAAGTTGGCGGCATACTACTTCAGCTTCCCTCGCGTCCCATGAGTTGCGACAAATAGTTCCCCATGTGCCACTGTGTTGCACCTCAACACGACCAGAAGATGGGTAATTAAAAGGGTTCACCAAACGAACAGCTGTTCAAGTGGAAAAAGAATGCAGAGTCATAGATTCAAGTGGTAAATAAAAGGTAGCATTTATTTTAGAAGCGTCCATTTTAATATTTACCCCCCCCCCAAAAAAAACATATGACAATCACGATGGGTTCCCATCAAGCTTCTTGTAAATGTCGGAAAAAGATCGCGATTGTCGGCTGTGAGGAAATAAAGGATGATGGTTTGCTAGAGAGCGGACGCCTTCGATATTTAGCCACCAATAGCGATGATACCTGGTAACTAACCCGCTCTATTGTGTTGGAAAGAGCCTAAGAAGCAGATGGTTGAAGGGGAAACACGGGACCGAATAAAGCACTTCTTCCGATTCGAGAGGTTGCAGAGAGAGTGCATGAAGGCCCACGCTAAGTGCAAGAACGCCAAATTGATTTATTCAGATTCCCAGACGACAATGTCATCTGCACATGTAGGAAGACATGAATTGTATGCTCTCTGCGCATTGCAGATATCATGTCTTAGTTACACGAAGTTCCCATCGACTTAGCTGTACAAGCAGCTCGGCAAAAACTGGAAACGATCCTAGCCTACCTAACCGCACGACACAAACACCCAGTCAGATCACAGACCCCCTGAACCTTGTATTGAGAGCTACTTACTTCCAGTACAATGGGCCAGCTTACGAACAGACAGTGAGGCGCAGCTGTTATTGCTAACCACTATATAAAGGGTTTTAACGATCAAGCAGCAACGCATCACCCAACCAACCCATGATTTGGAAATAATAAGTAGACGAAACCTTCACCATCTTGGCCTTTGACAGCGTAGAAAGCTTTTTAAAGCATTTAAAACCCCAAAAGCCTTCCATTCGCTTTACCATGGAGACGGAAAGCAACAATAACCTCGTCTTTCTCAATACCGTAGTTACAAGGAAATCTGTTTGTAGCCTAAGCGCCGGCGTATTCAGGAAGCCGACACACACTGACCAATACCTAGCGTATGACTCACACCATCCGCAGCCAGTAAAGCGAGGTATTGTTAAGTTCCAAACGTGCGTGCGAAACGTCTCGTAACAAAACCCTCCGTTATCTCCAAGAAGAAGAAACATCTGTCATCTGCTCTTGTATCTAATGGTTATTCTTCCTCTTTCGTGCAGAGGGTAATAAAAGCCAGGGCACCGACCGCCAGCACTGAACCCCTTGCCGAGTTCCGATCCACCGCAGTCCTGCCCTATGCCAAAGACCTCTCCGAACAATTCCATCGAATCACAGCTTAGCAATCGCACCTATTTTACAACATGTTGTATGCAAATTTTAACTTTAACTAAATATGGTGCTATTTGAATGGCACTCTGTCTTACAGGAATTAAGCTAACGATTGGACAAAAGTATTTTTTTCTTGCTGTTTAAACCATCATTATTTTTAGTTTAAGTTATATGTTAGGTTTGATAGATTATTCATTGTGTGTAACCGTCGAAGAGCGCGGAACAAAGAATTTTGAGTTTTCTACGTCGTGAAAATAACAGATTATGGACTCAGAAGAATTTTGTCCGGCTGGATTGGGTTTGTTTAGGTAAAAAACATCGATAATTGCTTGGATTTCGGATAGAATCTTCGATTTATGACGACTTAAATTTGAAGTGTGCTCTGTAAATTAAACATGTAGGAGAAGTGGTTGATCGACAAACGTAAAGGTAGTAAGAGGAACACTTAGATACATTTACTTGTGGCCAAACGACTCTGGGGCTTTGTAAAGGGTTCTGAAGTTCTTGCAGATGATGCGACCCCAGCGGCAGAAACAGTTTTCTGCTCAAATTGTGTTTGTAAAGCAATATATTCGTTACGATATAAAAGAGGGCACATGGGTTGAACAACATTTGAAGCTTATAAAAGATATCACTGTCGAATTTGCCACGATTGGAGTGCCTATTCCTGAAGACGATCAAGTTGTGACTCTGTTAGGAAGTTTGTCAAGAAGTTCCTCCACCCCTGTAAAAAGTTAGTCTGGATTATATTCAGCAACCACTCATAAACGAGGAAATGAAAAAATTGAAACTATTCTCCATGTATTTTAGCATTTATCCCCGAAGGAGCAATAGAGATATCATTATATAATGAGCATAAATCGTCATTTTACCTGCGTTTCGGCACACCACACCAGCGTCTTCACTATGTCCACAGTTGTTAACTCCCCATCCGCCGTGGCTGCATTCTGATATTGACGTCTCATCTCCTACACATTTTATGCCATCCAGCCATATCCGACCAGTTCCTTGTCCAAATACTGCAGTATCAAACACTGATAAAGCTCCTTCGAATCCAAGCTGACGACAAACTACATTAGCGTCCTGTAAGTCCCACGAGTTGTCACAAATGGTTCCCCATGTGCCATTGTAAAACACTTCAACTCGACCAGAAGATGGTGACTTGGTGGGACTCACCAAACGCACTGTTGTTGATGTAAAAATACAATCATGCTTAGGCTAATAAACTTTGTTGCTATATGTTTTAGGGAAACCATCTAAAGAGTGTGCCATACTTGGCTGAAGGCGCTAAGAACTCTTGAAATATCCTTTTAGTTCTTCGTTAACACTGTAAACGATAACTTTCTCTCGCAGGATATTCACCCTTCGTTTCTCCTCTCTTTATTAAATCTCCAACTAACTCCGACACTGTAGAACTTTAACCTCACTCCTACTCCGATACGCTTGATACCAACTATGCAGTAAACACTTTAATATACATTTATTAAATTTTCAATAACGAATATTGCATTCCTGGTGTTCTGATTGGTTCTCTTAACTTCGGTTATAAGCTCATACTCCGAGTCACCTCATATGGAAATGCAATGTGCCACCTGTTGCGAAGCTGAAAAAGCTCCAGATATTAACACGTTCAAAATTTGATGAGATACAATGAAACAATTATTAAATTCGGAGTCGTTGGATACGAGTCTGTTTATAGGCAGCTCGGCGCTACGCGTTAAAGCTTTAAGCCAAATTCTTTCATGAGGATCTTACTAATGAACAACAACGAACCTAATGCTGATGATCTACCAATTAATCTTTGAGTGCGAAAGTCAAAACGAGAACTTAAGTGTTAGTCCGGTAGGAGGTCTTTGGACAAGCTAAGCGGAAGCTTTTTTTTTTAATTTAAACATATTTATCATTGTTTTCCCCAAAAGCACTTAGGGTTAACGAGGGGGATTAAAATATTACAAATATATAATCAATTCATTCAGGCTTACTCTAAAACAGACACCTAAACAACACACAAAAGTTGCAATAACAAGGAGTAAAACTTACTATGCTATGAATATATTATTTAAACAATCAAATGGCCACAGAAAAGCGATTAATGTTAATTATAAAACTTAAACCTCGCGAAAAAAAGCACAGTTAACGTCGTAATTTACAGACTCAACTTCATACAATGAAAAATTAAGTTTCCTAGCATCACTACTCAATGACCATGTTTCACCTAGCAGCAGAGGTAAGGAGGACATCACAATGAGCAGCATACCTTAGGCAATACAAGAAAAAGTGTTCACCGATTCAGAGTCAAAACTGCCCCCGCAAATAGGCGACATACAACTATTGATTTTGAAGAGACATTCCGTTAAATAAGAAAACCCAAGTCTTAGGAGGGGGCGGGGGTGTGATCAACAGATGCACGCCTTGTAAAAGAACAATCATATAACCTATTGAAAGTATGCAGAAAGAGAATTGACCGAGTTTTCGCTGTAAAAGTGGGAAAAGATACTGAGTTTCGGACATCTAGGTCCAGAGAATTTCAGTCAGTGATTGCTGATGGAAGAAAAGACTTTTGAAACGTAGAAGTTCTACCACGGAGTTGAGTGAAGTTTTCTCTTGACTTAATTTATGTAGTTCTCTCCTGATACTAATAGGCCCCCAAGCGAGTTCATCAGGTAACCTCGCGGAGCTGGTTCCCTTAATGGCTTTTGTTACCACCCTTGCGGCTTCGTATTGAACATTATCCAGTAAAGCTAAATCACAATTATGACAGTTGTTCCAGATAACATCTCCACTTCCATGAGTGGTCTAATCAGGTTAGGACAAGCATGTTAAAGTGGATCTACCAACTTTGTATTTAACACATTTCAGCATATTTAATCGTTTAGAAGTAAATTTTTTTAAAGACTAACAAAATTGTACGAGCCCGTAGGGCGAGTGCAATTCTGGTCTTTAAAAAAATTAATAAGTGCTTATTTATTCCAAATTGCACGAGAAAAATCATGTGATTACGTGTTAATAACATACATGAAAAAATACGAGATGACCTATCGTAATTAAGCATAAGCAAAGCGCGTGCATCAAGTGCAAAAATAATCTATTCAAACCGTGCATTCGGTCAAAACAACCGCGTACGATCAAAACAATAATATGTAATGATATCTTCACGTCTTTAAGGCGCAAAAAAGTTCAAAGTTCGGCTAAATAGTTCAAGGAATTGTTTGGTGTCAAGAAATAGAGGCGGGTGATCTTGTTTCATTACGCTTGAGAAAAAATACAACATTGCGGAAATTGGACAAGACAGTCAAAACTAGAAAAATAATCGTAATAGCCAACACCCGAATAACTGTTAATTGTGGAATTAATTATTAACCAGTTACCAATAAGCAAATGGGCCTTAAGGGGAACCCCATAAAACGCTCTTTTAAGTGAACTTTCAATTACAGCTAAAGTGTATATTTACTTTGAATGATCTATTGTTTAGGTGTATCGACGCCTTACCTGCAGGTCGGCAAACTACACCAACGTCATAATAGTGATTACAGTCGTGAACTCCCCATCCTAAGTGAGAGCATTCTGATATTGATGTCTCATTTCCTTGGCATTGCAAATCATCCAACCATATCTGGCCTACTCCTTTTCCAAATGATGCCCGTGCCCATGTGAACGCTGTTAAAGCGCCATCGAATCCAAGCTGGCGGCAAACTACTTCAGCGTCCCTCACGTCCCATGAGTTTCGACAAATGGTTCCCCATGTGCCACTGTGTTGCACCTCAACACGACCAGAAGATGGGTAATTAAAAGGGTTCACCAAACGAACAGCTGAGTTAGTGGAAAAAGAACGCACTCTGGATTTATGTGGTAAATAGAAGGGAGCATTTAAAAAGGCTTAATAAAAGAGTAATCCTAATTTATCTTTCCACATAGTTCTGATGAGGTAATGAGCAAATTAGAAACCGTGCCCTTAAAAAGCCCTTTAGGCCTGAGAAATAACTTAAATTTTGACACAAATCACTTTTCCATCATCACTTGTCTCAGACTATGAACAATCGATGTCATATCACTGTACTTCTAAAATCAACACCAAAAAATCGTCCATTACAAAATTTACCTGGAAAAAAAAATTTGACAATCACGATAAGTTCCCATCAAGCTTCTTGTAAATATCGTAAAAAGAAGGAGAAGCAAGGAACAAGAACACCCAACAAAGTGCAAAATGCTATGACCAAAGTATTGAAAAACACCAAACAGAGGCCTTGTACAAAGTGCTCGAGGAGTTTTACACAACCGTTTGTAAGAGAGACTGGGAACATTTCGAGCGTCCTGTCCCTTGTGTAATGTTACTACTACTTACCTATACCTAACAGAGAAAGAATGTAAAAGCTCAATTATTCGTGACAAAGAGCTCGAGTTTAAAAGGTCAAAGCATGTTCGCTAGGAAAAGACCCTGTTTACATATTCACCATTGATATATATGAGTGGGTATGTCAGTAGACAAACTAAATACGTCAATTTGTGGAAGTTAGCCGACACTGTCACATTTAGGAAACTCATCACGGACAGCTTAAACCTAAATAACTTCGGAATTCGAGTTCATACAGTCACTTCATTCGAAATATAAACGAAATACTAAACCATGCTGAAACAAATAACTAACTGACTAACTTCACTAACTAAACCAAACTAACAGGAAAATGAGCCGTAAGGAAAAAAGAAGTCGGAAAGGGAAGTCTTGAAGTACTTGTCCTCACAGTTTTGGGGCTCCTGGCCCAGCATTTTGGTATTGACAGTTCGAGATTTTTCATTTGGATTGGATGAAAACAAAACAGAGTTCGTTGAATCCATAAGGAACCCGAGAAAAACACACTAGTCAGGACTGTTCGCAAAGCTCAAAGGCGTTCTTCCAAAAATGTTTGCAACTGGAGAAGAAAGAAGTCCCGTTACAATCTTCAAAGATTTTCTATGGCGTTGTCCTCTCAAAGTGCGTAAAACTGGTCCACTTTATCTGTCTTGTGAGCCAGTTTCGTCCTTGCAAGATTATCGTAAGCGGCAGCCGATGGGAGTGAAGAAAATTAAGGACGTGATGAAGTTGGTCATTAGAGGAACGACCCTGGAAGATTCAGTGAAATCCTTATCTAACTAAAGCGCCAGGAAATCTGTTTAAGTTGAAGACAACAGGCCTAAAGCGAAGATCAATCGTAAAGATAACCGGCCACAGAAAAGAATAGTTACTTGATGGTTTAAAGGAAGAATATCAAAGAGTACAACAGCAGTTCTCTCACGCTATCAGCCACGAAAAGTCAGCATTCCGCTAGCTCGAGCCTCAGTCACAACTTCAACCAAACAGCTTTCGGGTTTCATATGACAAGTTATTTATCTGGCCAGAATGAGTAACGTCAGTGTTTCATAAACATAAACTATTTCTACCATTGCCAAGTCACTTTCAACATGGGAAACACAGCTGCTCCTGAAAAGCCACATTTAGCTACATCATATGAGGCGGATGGTATTTCTGATATATCTCTAGAAAAGCTTCAAACTTTTGATCGAATTCGTCTTAATTAGAATCGACTACAAACATTGATAAGATGAGTTCTTAGAATAAACAAGTTTTTAACGAGTAGTATCATCATTCATTGAAAAACAAGGTGTCGTTTTCAAACAATAACCTTAATGTAAACGGAACCAGCGAGCCATGACACGAAATAGGCACGACGAAAGACGAATACAGAGTCGTTGTTTTCCACATATATTATTAACAAATAATCATGTGATCTATCTCTTGCAACTTGGGGTAAATGAACACAAGCATTTTTTCATAGACAAGAAACTGCATTCGTCCTAATTGCTTGTGCAATTTAGTTAGTCAGTTAGGTAGGTCGTTCTGTTCATTTGTAATGTCCGTGTCGTGAATAACTCGTTTGTATGGTGCTGGTAGTTGTTGACACCTGTTGAGAGGAGTCTGTTCTAAGTTAGTAAACCAGGTTTCTAGAGTCAGTAGTTGAAGGTGGTTGGTGCTGTAGGCTAAGCATTGCGCAGAGTCTCAGTCAATAGTGCGTTTCTTAAGTCGATGATGTTCAGAAATGTGATCGTTGACATCACCTTTCCTCGTCGCCCGCTTATGTTCAATCATTCTTGTTGTGAGGTTTCTGCCAATCTCTCCGATGTAGGAGGCGTGGCAGTAACTTTACCAAAGGATCGAAACAGACCAATCATGACCGATTACCGGTCTTAGAACATTCTCTTGACTCTGATGATGACTTCCGCTCTCGTTGCTGAAACGTCAGTCACCATTACCGACAACAGTCCTTCTCAAGACTACATTTACTCGGACGATCAGACTACACTATCACATGTTACCCCTTTGGAGAGATGTTCTAATTTATTCCAAATTGCACTCGAAATCATGTGATTTCCTTTACAAATTGCCGCATTTCGTTGATGTCTATGACAACCATTGATAATCTAATGTTTACGTACCTGCGGGTCGGCACACAACACCAGCGTCATCATTCTGTCCACAGTTGTGAACTCCCCATCCTCTGTGGGAACATTGCAATATCAAAATCTCATTTCCTACACAATTTACGTCATCCAGCCATATCTGGCCAGGTCCATATCCAAATGCGGAATCACCAGATGCTGATAAAGCTCCCTCGTATCCAAGCTGATGGCAAACTACCTCAGCGTCCTGTAAATCCCATGAGTCGTCGCAAATTGTTCCCCATGTACCATTGTATAGCACTTCAACACGACCAGAAGATAGCGAAGGGCCACGACTTACCAGACGAACTGTTTGTGTGGGAAAACAAGTTTGCTAAAATCCATGATAAAGCCAGTCGACACATAACATTCATATGGCCAATATCAGAAAACGTTCGGCAAAAATCAAATTCAAAATATAGGGCGGTTTGCCTAGATACTCCCCTTCGATCATTTAGTGTTGCACAATCACTGAAAGAAAACTGTACGTGGAGAGAGATCTAGAGGGAGGGGGGGGGGAATCTTGGTGAAAGAAAGGGAACGAAGACAAATGATTATTGTGCTTTCCTATAACTATTAGTTGCACTGAATATTTTTCGCGTTGGTTGATTGCGAAAAGCGTCATTTCCTTGATATGGACGGAGCAATTCAAAAGTGAGGGGAATAAATGAGGTTTCTCTAATTTGACTGAGATTTTTATGCTTCCGTGTACATGCATCACTTTACCTGCGGGTCGGCAAACTACACTAGCGTCATAACTATGCTGGCAGTAGTGAACTCCCCATCCCATGTGACGGCACTGTGATATCGATTCCTCATTTCCTACACATTGCACATGACTCAGCCATATTTGTCCTGCCCCTCGTTCAAATATTGCTCTTCTTGGTACAGATAAAGCTCCATCGTATCCAAGCTGGCGACAAACTACATTAGCGTCCTGTAAGTCCCAAGAGTAGTCACAAATGGTTCCCCATATACCTTTGTATCGTACCTCAACACGACCAGAGGATGGCGAACTGGCGGAACTCGCCAAACGGACTGTTGATAACAAATACGTAGAGAATATTCTAAGTAGTTGAACTTCATAAACGTTTAGCCAATTCTCTGCATGAATAGAACCAACCAATAAATTGTGAACCATAAATCTATGTTAGAGACAATCATGATAATAGGACACTATTTTCTTCTGATCTAAGTAAGGAAGGAACCCATTAGTTAAATTTTTAGTACAGGTATTGAAGGGCAATGAAAGAGTAACGGAACAACAAGGGCAGAGTTGTCCTTTTCTAATAGAATAACGATATAAAATCCTTGCTTGCAGCCCTCAGCGATAATTTATGGCGAAGGTAATGAGTCATATATTATAGCTAGAATGCAAAATGAACTTTTCTTTCGCAGAAAAGTAACTGACCCCCCTACTATGTTTTTTTAGAAAATGGATCTCATTACAATAAATTGCAATGCGTTAATAATGATGCTGTCAATGTGTATTCGGAAAGCTTCTGAAATTCCCCCTGGCGAAATGTTGTATCTAACAACAGTTGTAGCAGTTACCCCTGGAAGTCGTTGAGCACGCACCACCACAGACTAAAGGTAACACAAAGCCAAAAGTGAATTTCAGCGACTTGTTAATACATGGACTGTAGTAAATGCTGAGTCAGTTAAATTTCTGTCGCTGGGAGTATATAGTGCAGCATTTCCATAATTATAAAAGCGCTGAACAAAGTGCAGCGGTATGAGTATGAAAAATTAACTGCCTTAAAGAACTTCTCGCCAAAACTCTGTCTGTGACACCATCTCCGCTATAAGCTCGCCACTCCTCACGTTCAACAACCACTTTTTTAACCTCTTCTGGTAGTTTCTATGAGAGGTGATAACTTAAAAACGGCCGAAATAGGCAATGGAAAATCTTCACAAAGTCCACTGGATTCATAGTGTTGCATTGATGGAAAATACGACAACCGAACACCCCTGATCTTTAAACGCTGTCGTGAATCAAGCCTCAGTGTATTTTGGGCAGAAAATTTCGATCAAGGCACCGTATTCCCCTGAAAAAGAAAGCCACTGGTGCGTCACAGTGGCACTCATAACAAAATTGATATAAGACGTGTGGCCATTGAGAAAGGAAATGTTTAGCTAACATGGGAGAGATACTGTCCCTCCTTTGGACCTGAACCTCAACCCTCAATGATTAAGAAATATTCCTTACTGGCACTCTCAGAGGTGTTGACATCCCTAGAAACGACCCAGAGCTAGAGGAATTTAAGCCCAGCGCCAGCGAAGACCCAAAGTTACGAAACTTAGGTAAATTATACAGAAATGATGGCCTAACATCAAATCTTATCTTGCTCCTGTTCTTACATGGCAAACTTTGAGTTAGAAAGTAAAGCTAGTTCAGCTTATCAATCTTACGTTATCAAGAGTCATCGGAAGCTAAGTTTGCTATGGAACACTGAAGCAAGTAGTCGGTAAAAATGGCCTGTAGTAAGTGTTCAGCGAAATTTGGAGGTTCATCAAGACCTGAGGCATCCAGCTCATAACCATCTCAGTAAGCAACTCAGGGTTAGTGGCATAGTGGAATCTGTGTAACGATAGCGATGCGTATGTAAAGCAAACCCATTAACTCAGGATGAGAAAATACCTCGTCTTACTAAACATGGTAAATGCTTCAACACGAGGTGTAGATAGCAGTCCAGCCAAAAAACTACTGAATAACCATAATTCACGCAACCAAACCATTACCAGAGCCGTGGAGTCCCCTGAACCCAAAAAAATGGAAAACCACGAACTAGATAAGACGGACAAAGCACATGGTCGACTATTTCAACATTGTTTTTGATGAAAGTTCAATGTTTAGATCTCACTTGCATCTTTTGCTGGTTTCACTCCGGCAATCAGAAAGAACGTTCTGCAATACAAAGACCACGTAACTTCCGAAAAATATGTCTACCCATTTTCTCGGCAACAGTTTGAATAAGAACACTGCTCGATGACCCTCGTTCTGAAGGCGACGATGTGAATGTATATTGTATGTGAAAGAGGTCAAACCACTTGCATGTAAACCCAACAAGGGTAACACGGCTACTCTACAAAGAAATCTGTTCGTGCACAACAGCAGGGAAATCCTGCGCGGTAATAATCCATTGCTAATTTTTTTTTTGCTGATGCTTGATGAAAACACAAGTCGTTTGTTCATTGGGCTATCTAAAGAGAAGTATGGGTTACTCACAAACCATCAAAGAGATGGTAATTAGAATTTCAAAGCTTTAGTTAATGGGTTAGTAATTAGGAACTGTTTAGGACCATTCGAAGAATAAATGCTGCATAAATTCGCTGAAATTAGATTGAAAAGGGACGAATTTGGTTAAGAGTGTACCCAAATTCAATTTGTAAAGTGAGGGAGCTTTTTATGTGATTTAAAAACTCACTTAGGAATAAGGAAAATCCAACGAAGACAACTTATAGACTTTTTACTCTCTTTTTTAATAAATGTAATTGCCTGTAACCAAGTATAATAATGCAAATTGGATTCACAAATAGGGCATTTCACGCGTGAAGTTTAAAAAGTGATCAATACAGCTTGCCATTATAGGTACGGAAAGTATAAAAATTTACGATGAATCTTGGGATATTAATCTCGAAGGTAAATCACAACTACCTCTTCAATGGTTATATGCGAGTAATACATCAGGTCCCGGTTGTTCAGAGGTTTGATGAGATATCCACTGAATGAAACTCTAAGATATCCCCTGGATGAAACTCTATTCGGTGGACTACGCTATAGGTTTTCTATCACTTATCCGCCAGATAGCGATTTATGCGTTTGACAGCGTTGTCCGCCCGACAACTGTCTTAAATAACTGAAATTACTCTCCTGTCCAACTTCTTAATTTCTTGGCTAAATTTGACCCGGTGATAATTTATGTTATCACAATGGCCAGGAGCTGGTAAACCTAAACTGATAGGTCACTTTTGCCGTGATATTATTGGCTCTGTACAGCTTAGGATATACGGCTAACGGCAAACACGATCAATTATTTTGCACGCACGGACTACCAACACTCGAAAGACAAAAAATTATGCGACTCTGATGGTGACCACCGTCGAGGTTTTCGAAACGCAGTCTCTGATAACGACAAAATTTCTTCTCAGATCTACCCTCATCCTGACGATGAGACCGAACGGTGAAAAGTTTACTCATCTTTCGGGCAAATCATTATGATAATGCCGGAGTTGATGCACTATAGCACTTACCAGTAACACTTGCTGCTTTAGTGAGAGACACCAAAATACCTGAAAGAACAAACAGTTTTTTAAGTTTTCAAACACATCTAGATTTAAATTATGTATATATTATTTATTTAAATTAATTAAATAAATACAGAATATACAGAAATAGAAGTTCTTGGGTACCAAATTATGGAGGGGGGGGGGGGGAGAGGGGGAAGGGGCAGACTCCACCCAAAGTCTACCTCCTCGGCGCGGTCTGAAATTAGCATAGGATACTCTTAGCTTCTAGTGATATATATGGATATTTTGTCAATAAACGAGACCAAACTCGAAAATGCATTTGGTAATGAAGTCCACATCCCTGGATACGAGATAATTCGTCGTGACAGAATCACGGTTTTTTATGCCACAAACTCTATAAATGTTATCATTCAAAATAACATTTATTTGCATGCCCTGAGAAACCTCTGCTTGGAAATTCAAAGGCCCAGATCAAAACCGGTTGTAGTTGTCACGTGGAATAGACCACCAGACGCTCCTACTGGTATCTTTTCGCCTTTCGTATCTGTAATCGAGAAACTTGTCGGTGAAAATGTAGTGTATTTCGTAATGGAAGATTTAAACTTTAAAATGACTTCTACCCGATTTGACAACAACGCTCTCAAACTGATGAGTATTTCTGATGTTTATGGACTCCAGCGACTCATGTCAGAACCGACAAGGATTAGACCTACCTCCGCAACTTTAATCGATCTAATTTATGCCAATTTTACGGATAAGATTTCGAATTTGTCACACCGGGATCAGTACTCAAATTATGGTTTTGCTTGCAGAAAACTAGCCCTGAACGGGATGTCTAATGGAGATATTACAGTGACTTAAAGAAATTTTCGGAAATTTGACTCACAAAGCTTTCGAAATGACATCTTGTCTCAATCTAGGGAGAACGTTTATGCATTGTCCAATTCAATTTTTTTGCGCTTAGCCATAGCTAACAGATCCGCTCCACTGAGGACAAAGCGCGTTCGCTTGCGTGGTTCTCCGTGAATCACATTAGGAATAAAAGGTTCAAAGAATAAACTAGATTTCTTAAAAATTAAAGCCATTAACTCAAAAATCTCCCAATGATTGGGTGTTATACAAATGACAGCGGAATGTAACTAAAATATAAATACGATAAGTCAAATCAGCATACTATCAAAAAAGCTTTACAGAGCACACGGGTGCTTCTCGAAAGACTTAGCAAACAATCAATGAGTTAATTTCCCGGAAATCTGGGAAAACTCCAGTGACGTCACGTTTAAAAGTGAATAAATTGACGATAACTAATCCGGGGGAGATAACAAATGGGTTTAATAACCACTTTTCCACCACTGGTCCAAAACTTACCATTGAGATTTCCTCGGATGGCTGAGACTAAGCAAGATATCTCACATGCACAGATACACGATTTCATCTCCTTGCAACCAATGCAAACAAAGTCTTTTCACTGATGAACAAGCTAAACACATCTAAGGTAACTAGCTTAGATGGAATATCAGCGAGACTTACTCGTGAGTACGCCGTCCTCACTCGCGATACTTTAAATTAAACTATCAGACAGAGTAAACTCCCAGGAGACTGAGAATCTGCTACAGTCACGCCTCTTTTCAAGAAAGGTGATCGAGACAACGTAAACAATTACCGTCTTATCCCGGTTATGTCAGTTGTGGTCAAGGTATTGGAGAGAATAGTTTACGAACTATTATATGCCTATTAAGAGGAGCACGATATACTATGCAAACATCAGTCGGGATTTTGTGCTATTC